CGTGAAAATAGAGACACCAGCCACTATAGTCCAATGTTTACCGGGAGCCAGAGCGCCTGACATCTTGGCAAATTTAAAAGTGCTGGCTAATGCTAAATGTAAATTCAGTAAGATTGTAATTCACATCTGCACTAATAATGTTTGACTTCGCCAGTCGGAGACCACTAAAAATAACATTAAAGTGGTGTGTGAACTTGCAAGTACGATGTCAGACACTGTAATATGCTCTGGTCCCCTCCCTGCTTACTGTGGTGATGAGATACATAGCAGACTGTCGTCACTCATTGGCTGGATATCTAAGTGGTGCCCACAGAATAACCTAGGTTTCATAGACAATTGGACAAGTTTTTGGGGCAGACCGGAACTGTTGAAAACAGATGGTCTTCATCCCTCCTGGGGTGGTGCCGCTCTTCTCTCTTCTCTCTAGAAATATGGCATATAGTCTTAGAGTTTGTACTTGACTAACTGGGGCCCAGGTCAGGAAGCAGACAGACTGGCTAAACCGACCATCTGCTAGCCGCCTCACGTCACAGAAGTCAGTTAATTCTCAGCACATAGAGACTCTTTCACCCAGATATCACACTGTGTCTGTTTCCTGAACAAGCAAATACAAAAAAGTCCAAAACAATTTAAAGGCGCAATATGTAAGATTTTTTTATTAAAATATCCAAAAACCACAAGAACAGTGTTATATATTTTGCTGAATTGTGTACTTACATTATCCCAAATGTTTCGAAGAATGTTTAAATCCAGAGAAGTAAATGATGGTATAAAAATGAAACACTATGACAGAATTGAAAGACAGATGACAGAATTTTCATTTTTGGTGAAATATTCTTTTAATGTTAATAAAACCACAAAACACAGAAAAAAAATCACTCACTGCTCTTGACTGATGAACTTATCATCAGTCAGTATAATTGATGATATATAGGCTAGTATATAGTGTTTTATTTTAATGTGTTCCTTCAATTTCTTGAATGTTACTGCTAAATACTGTACCTGAAAAATAAAGCACAGTTTGTTTTATTTGTATATTATGTGTATTTGTAATGTATATCTTTGTTCTTATTTTCTAATAACAAAGATAAAATAATGACCCAGATTTTTTATCTTTGCTCACTTTGGCCTAAATGTCTGCCATTCTTTTTTATTTTATATTTTGTAAATGTGTAAGAGGTGTTATGTTTCTGCACTCTTCCATTTTTAGCAAATTAAGAAAATTTGTCTAAAAACAATTTTTGATGGTTTGTATTTTTTGTGCTCTGTATGGAACATCAGTGCCTGTTTAAGTGATGAACTCCATTACTTGTGTTTGTTTCAGACATGATAACAGACGTTTTATACTTGTGCTACAACTTTTTGGCCTGCGCTACAAAACTTTGAACCTCTGTAGCACCAGTGCTATGTGAAAAAAAAAGTTAACGTACAGCCCTGGCTCTATATTTCTTCGCGTCATGAAACCTACAAATTTGCAAAACTAACGAAATGCATAGTTGATATAAAAAACTGGATGACTAGTAATTTCCTACTGCTAAATTCTGAAAAAAATGAGGTTTTAATTACTGGACCAAAAACCTTGACATGTAATAACCTAAAACATTGTCAAACACTTGATGGCTGCTCTGTTAATACCTCGTCATCAGTTAGGAACCTTGGTGTGCTATTTGATAGCTATCTTTCCTTTGAAAACCTTGTAAAACTGAATTTTTCCATCTTAAAAATATATCTAAATTATGACCTATGCTCTCAATGTCAAATGCAGAAACATTAATTCATGCATTCATGACCTCAAGGTTAGTGTCACAAATCAAGCCTCTGTGGCTCCCTCCGATCACCACCAGAGGGAACCGTCACCGGAGTACTAACTGTTCTTTAGGACTTCATTTCCCATCACCCCATGCCTGATATTGATTACCTGCACAGGTGCTTATCATCATCATGACTATTTAAGCGGTGCCTACCTTACCCTCGTTGCGAAGTCTTGTTTTTGCTACTGCTGACATTTCTGAGCGTTAATACCTTGTTTGATTACCTGTTGCCTACCTGGATTGTTTAGACCTGTCTGATCGTTCGCTGCTTGC